TCCACCTGTAGCCCCCAGACACTGCTCTCATTCTGAATGTGCGAGTCTGGWTTTACCTTTACAGCCAGCTCTTTAATAAATATTTTTATCACATGGATGGAGAGTCATAAAATCTTGGAAGGAACTACTTAGGCAGTAATGGGCAACTGAAAGCTATGTAAATTCTTGAAGAGGAAGAACAATGACACAATGAAAATGAAGTTTTAGGAAGAGTGTAGCTCAGTGATGTGCAAAATAAGTTGTTGGCTGTGTCTCAGAGGCAAGGGCGAGCCCCTAAGAGTGCACCAAAGTGTTCAAGGTGAGGAATTTAGAGCCTTCTTCATGGTGATGGCACCAAAGGTGGAAAACAAACTGACACCAGGAGTCATGATGAAGGGTGAAATGACAGGTTGAATAGAAGGTATGATGGCARAGGGGAGCTTGAAACAACACCTGTGTTTTAGGGACCCTAGAAAAATAGCAGTTCCCCCCATACGCATGGCATTTCCATCCAGTGACTTCTAGATCAGCTTGATGGGACTGAGGTGTCTGGGAGGCATCCAGTTTATGATGTTGAATCCATTGGCAATGTGGGCTTGAGTAGGACCAAAGGCCTGGAAGGAAGAGAAAGATGTAGGCGAGTCAGCAGCAGGAGGGAGAGAGGGGAAAGGAGCCTGGGAACCTGAGTTCAGATTTGTAAAATTGATTTTACTTTCTTACATGTGTTCATGTCATAGAATAGCAGGAATAAAGAAAAGTCTTGGTGGAGCTGGGGGTTGTAGCTCAGCGGTAGAGCACTTGCCTAGCACGTGGGAGGCCCTGGGTTCAATCCTCAGCACCACATATAAACAAATAAATGAATAAAATAAAGGTATTGTGTCAGCTACAACTAAAAATATATACATATAAAAGAAAAGAAAAGTCTTGATGGCAAATTGCTTGACAATAATGAGCAATAACAGACTTCTGGCAGATTGGTTTCTAAAATGATATTCTTGTGTTAAACAGCTGAGAAGTGGGGGTAATGGAGGTGAGGGGCAAGTGTCCAAAGGGAGCAGATGAGGATGCATGGACAGAGAAGAAACTTAGAAGGGAATCTAGCATATGTTGCATGTACCTCAGTGGTCCTGCTCACCAAGCAGGGTTGCATTATTATTTTCAAGGGCAGATTCTTCCATTCTTGCCCCTTGGTTATGGTGTCATCTGAAAGAAGCAGGAGTTGTCACAGAATGGAACTGTACATCCAAAGTTCTGCTTTTGTAATCACCATGAAATATGGCTTCAGAGAAGAAACGTTCCTTTAAAACACATTATGTCACCATTTCCCCCTTAAKGTTCTAAGAGACAGTGGATCCATTTTGAAATGTAAAACAAAGTGCTCAGGGACCAGATGGCTCAAGCCTGTCATCCCAGTGACTAGGGAGGCTGAAGCAGAAAAATCTCAAATTTGAGGCCAGCCTCAGCAACTTAGTGTCTCAAAAAAAAAATTAAAAAGGGGAGCAGGGTTAGGGTTGTAGCTCAATGGTAGAGCACCCCTGAGTTCAATCCCCAGTACAGGAAGAAAAAAAAAAAGAAATCTGGAAGTTGAAACAGAATGCTAGAATCCCAGGAGGACACTAGTGCGGGACACATTAATGCAAGCTGCCAGAGGTGTCATAAACTCGGGTGGTTTCCTAATTACAGTCCTCTGCCTCTGGGTAGATATCCACCAGATATAAATTGCTGTAGGTGCTTCAGTGTTTTTAAATGACTTGAGTACTACCAATACTTTCTGGTCATTTGCACTATATATGCTTTATGATTTTCCATGTAAATCCTTGAGAGTCTTTTCTGTGAGCAAAGTAACATACTTTGGAATACCAGCAGACAATCCTCAGCAAGAGACATAAATTTTCTTCTGTTTTAAAGGAAACAGGAGAGAAAAGAAAGAATAATAGCTTCATGGAGGTGTGAGGGTTATTATTATCTTAAAAATTTGAACTGAAATATARGCTGCCAGTTTTCAGAGGACTTCCTGTCATTGGAGTTATATCTGTCACACCCCAAAAGGTAAAATGAAGCAGTAGAATATAGACTAATTTCTATAGACTAATTTCCAAACTACAAACTGGGACATGACCTAACAAGGGATTTTCTTCTTCTTCTTCTTCTTGTGAGTTGTAACTATTTTCCTATATCAGATTCCTAAAAATTCCTAAGATCTCTAAGTTCCTATATGATTATTGGATAATAGGATTTATTTCCACTTACCACTGAGTTATTTCTACCATCTCACTCAATCATCATCAATCCATCCTTAAGCTGACCTGCTGGTTCTCAGGCCCAGTGCTTGGTGAGAGCAGAGGAGGCTGGATGTGTTCTGGTTGCTATGAACACTGAATTGGTGCTGTGGCTCTAGTGATGTCGTGGCTCATGGAAACAGATTGGTACTGACATAGCAACTGTCATTGTTTCAGGATGGTTTATAAAAAGCCAAGAATCTCTTAGCTAAGTATGGTCTTAAGGTAATTTTTGGTAGTCTCATATACTTCTTGTCAAGAAGTATTTTATCCTCTGTCAGTGCATATACTTTATCAGTCTTGTCTTATAACAAGCATAGATAAATAGATACAAAAACCCATTTTAAGAATGACTTATTGAGCTATAACACTTGTAAACTATATGACTTATTTATAGTTCTCAAATGGGGCTTGCATTGCCATTACCTCCAGTAATATTCATCTTAAAATGCCATGTAAGACATTTTTTTRAAATTATAAAAGCAGTAGATGTTTCATCCATTTAAGAAAGTCAGACATTGTCAAGGGTGTAAAGTAAAATGTAGAAATTCCTCTCTTTATATTCTGGTCTTCAGTTCTACCCTCCAAATGCAATCCCTGTAATAATATCGTCAGTGTCTTTGCATTCGTTTTTGAAGCACTTATAATTTTACTTGTAGTTTTACACACACGGACTCACACAYACACACATTTATTTTTTTTAATTTGGACTATCAAGAATTTATTCATGCCTTAAAACAATAAAAATAATTTGCTCTCATATTTTTCCAACACACATTGATTTTTATGCATACTTACTGTCTGCATTTTGCTTTTTTAGTTTTTCTTAAAATACCTGGGCTTTGTCATGTTGGCATGTACCAATTGATCTCATTCTTTTTAACAACTGCATGGCATTTCACTATATATGTGCCATCATTTTTTTTACAGGTATTTAAGTAATTTCCAGTTAATATCTGGTTATCTTTGAAGTTATACTGTTTGAGTGACTGTGAACATTCCTAGAAATGAAATTAGTGAGTCAGTATCATGGGATGTTTTGTTTTGTTTTGTTTTGTTTTGTTTTGTTTTGTTTTGTTTTGTTTTGGTGGTGCTGGGGACGGAACCCAGGGCCTTGCATTTGCAAGCACATAATCTACCACTGAGCTACAGCTTCAAGCAGCTGTGATATTTCTAAGTTATCTTCTGAAATGCTTGCACAAATTTACATTTCCACTCATATTGTCTGAGAGTGTTTCCATATCCTCATCTTCCTTTAGAATTTGAAATTTCTACCATCCTCAAAGATGAAAATGATTACTCCTGTTTAAACATGCCTTTGTTGGATTAGTGAATATTGAGTATTTCTTTCCCATAAGACTAACAATCATTTGTTTGTTTGAGTGAATTTCTCATTTCATGTCTTTTCCCCATTTTTTTTCCTATTTATCCCTTGCCTTTTCCATTTTTAAGAGAGGRAAAAAAAAATCCTTCCCTGAGATAGGCTTCCATTTAATATATAACCCACTAACAGCTCACAGGAAACCATAAATGTATATATTGTACACATGAACACTTGTATAAACACTTGAAGCCCTAAAAAAAAAGAAGCATCAATGTGGTCTCATAGCCCAAGGTGAGAGAAAACAGCCTGTTTGGGATAGATGTGGGGTCTGGCYTCCCTCTTTCACTTGGTTTTCTATTACTGTATAAAAAGTGACCACAAACTTGGCAGATTAGCTCAGAGTTTCCCTGGGACAGGAGTCCAGGCACAGCARGACTGGGTTTTCTGTTCCAAGTCCCATAAAGGTAAAGTCCAAGGAGTTGACTTGCTGCATTCTCAGAGAGAGCTCTGGATCCTCTTCTAACTTCATGTAGTTGTGGTGGGATCCCATTGCCTGCAACTATAGGGCCAACTTCTTCCTTACTGGCTGCCATCCAGGGGGCCACTCTCAGATCCCAGAGGCTGCCCTTGTACCTTGTCACATGGCTCCTGACCTCTCCAAAGCCGAGAGAGAGAAATTTCCCATGCTGAATCCTTCTTGTGCTTTGAATCTCTGTGATGTCAAGGCCCAGATCTAAGGAACTTGTATGTTTAGGACAGGCCCCACTGGATCACCTATCTTAGGTCAACTAAGGAGTAAAATCTCTTTACAGAAGCACTTAAATCAGTGTTTGACTGACTCACTTTGAAGAGGTGTTTGTATACCAGGGACCAGGAATTTGGGGGCCATCTCAGAATTCTGCCCACCAAACCCTCTATTACCTCTTTCTAGGGAAAGGGTTTGTTCAATGATGGAGGAAAGGCCATGATTAGCATCTGTCTAACCCAGGGATGGAAAAAGACATTCGTGTGGGTCAAAGATCTTGATGTGAGCAATGGAACAGCAGAAAGCTTTAGAGGAAATCTAGGAAACCACACGTACAATGTGAAGGTCAGGCAGACCTTCTTGACCAAAGATCCAAACGTGATATTCCCCACCTCAGCATCTGCTCTCTTGACACCCTCAGGCCACATAGCCCACCCAGAGGACAGGCTTCATTCATGGATTTTGAGCCCTCTAACCTTGCTGTTTCTTCTTGATATCAGTGTGAGCAGAGTGTGCTTTTGTGAGATGCCGGAGTTCAATAGAACAGGATGAACTGACCAGGATCTAAGGGGACCGGTGTTGATGAGCATAATTCTAAAAGAACTCTCAAAGAGCACTCCTCCCTCCCTTTGTTTCTTTTTCTTTCAATCTCCCACCTGCTGCTGTGATTCAGACGCATTGTACGTGACTTGCTTGAGACTGAAGAAGTGTACATAAAAGAAATGGAGAGCATAATCGATGTAAGTAGATTGGGAGGGTATTAAGCATAGATGCAACAAAGAGACTGAAAATAGTTGCTTTGTCTCTAGAATCTCACCAAGTTTTCAGTCTTATAATAAACAGCACAATATCTCCTCGGTTTGAAAAGGAACATCCTTATGGCTCTGGGTCCTTGTAACCAAATAGCTCCAAAGGATTGTTCCAGTTCATACCGATCCCAGGAATACCCAACTAGGCTCACCACATGCTTGCCAACAAAGGGTATTATAATATAAGTACTTTTGATGCTTAAGAAGGGAAGATTCTTTCTTGTGTTTTAAGGTATTTTTTTCTTAAGAGTAAAAATGTACACTTTCCTTCTTCTCCTAAAGGAGTAATCTTAAGGAAAAAAAWTATATGTACAATGTTATTTATTATACATTTTTCACAATAAGAAAATCAGAAGCAATCAAAATATGCAATTAAAAAATGGAATGGTTAATAAAATATAATATATATGCTGAATAAATAGTATTCAACTGTTTTAAAAATGTGATTCTTTTGGAAAATAAGTAGCAACATTAAGAAAATCTCTTGAGAGAGCTTTATAAACTGAGTCTGTAATGCACCTGAAAAAAGTACAAATAAATATGTATCGTGATTATAACCATATAAAATAAGCTTTTTAAAAGTTATGAAGTAAATATAATAAAACTTAACAGTAATTGCAGCAGGTCATAAAATGATGGGTAAGTTTYTTCCTTTCTTTCACATTCTACTCGTATAACTTATACACATTTAAAAATATGTATTAGTTCTTCCAATTAAAACGCCACTTTGTTGTCATTGCCATTAAGCCATCTCCTTCTGAAGATGGACACATAAGGAAACTGATATCTAAAGAACATATTTAATAGAATAGCTTTCAAGAAGCATGTGTACTGTATTGCCTAATTATTTCATTAAAGTTTTGGTTCTTGAAGTAGATGATTCAGATCATCTCATATAATATCTGTAAAACCTACCTTGTTTCCACCTCTGCAGGGATACATCACTCCAATGGATTTTATCTGGTTGAAACATCTGATTCCAGATGCTCTTCAGAATAACAAGGACTTTCTCTTTGGGAATATTAAAGAACTTTATGAATTTCATAGCAGGTACATAATAAGTCACATTATGGGGAAGAAATGAAAAGTAAAAGAAGAGCAAAAATCAGACTGATGGAATTTGGAGATSAAAGTGTTTTCATATGGTCTAGCCTGAGCAAGTGATTTGGAGTCTGTGGATTGGATTGGAGTAGGATGGGCATGTGAGGGGGAAAGAAGCTCCAAGGGATCCCTGAGGAATAAAGAAGGGGAAAGACACCATTGGCCTGTGTCCTAGGTGTCAGGCATCAGTGCTGTACTAGCCGTGTTCCTTTGCTTGTTTATTTAATCATGCATCAGCATTTACTGAGCACTTATTCTATGCCAGGCCCTGTGCTCAGCATTGGAAATACAAAGATGACCAAGATACACACCCACATGCCCACTAACATAGAATGGCAAGGGGTGCTAGAAAATGCTAACTGGCCAAATAAATTGTCCCTCTAGCCCAGTGTTGCTTGGATGTTGAGTTTTAGAGAAAGAAAGGAGAAGACACTTCCAACCCTCCCATTTCACASATGAGTAAACTGCAGCTCCTTGACTACTTTCACCTGATTAATGGAGAAGGAAAGATTGCTGGGCAAATTGAACCATAGTTGACTCCTAACCTCATCCTTTGTCCATTGGTMAGACACAAAACTGAAATGAAATCCCATGGCTGCTACTTTCCCAAGAGAAGTAATTCAGCCTCTTTGAGCCTCAGGTGTCACACTGATGAAACTTGTCTTGCAGAGTTTGGTCAAGAATTAAATGAAATGTTTGTTTGTGAAGCACTTGGTTGTGCCTGGCTGATAGTGAGGTCTCAAAGATGTTGATAGAAGCAGCAGCGGCGGCAGGAGCAGTGGCAGATGCTATGAACATTACCGTCATGTAGCATCAGCGTATCCCATCTGTCCGCAGCTGATGCTCAGAATGACCAGAACAGCTGTGGTGGTTTCATGGTCATCATAAGTAATGCCTCAGAGTACATTTTTTTTCCCTCACAAATGAATGTGTAGAAGATGGTCAGCAGCAATAAAGCCTAGAGAATAGCATTTTTCTAGACACTTCTTAAAACTTTATGTGGTTTTACCTTAAACAATTTGAATCCCACACATGTAGCAATCAAGACATCCTTATGTTTTTTATTTCCTTAGGACTTTTCTAAAAGAATTGGAAAAGTGCACCGAAAACCCTGAACTTCTGGCCTGTTGTTTTCTCAAGAGAGTAAGTCTGTGGTCCCAGTGAACAAAAATAACCATGTGATTAAAGTCAGTCTTTGTTTTTCTGTGTAAGTGACAAGGACAAATTGAAACACCAAAGGTCTAAAAACATCTCTGCTTTCCCTGATCCCCAGATTTATTGACATATAATTGACAAATAAAAATTTCATATATTGGAGATACACCACCTGATGATATGGTATATGTATACACTGTAAAATGATTACCACAGTTAAGTTTATTAACATCTGTCATCTCAAATGGTTATCATGGTGTGTGTGTCAGAGTGTGATCTAAAAAGAGTTAAAACTCATAGAAGCAGAGAGTACAAGTGGTGGGAAGAAATGGGAAGATGTTGGTCAGAGGGTACAAACTTTCAGTTACAAGATGAGTAAGTTATGGAGATGTAATACATAGCACAGTTAATATTACATGTTATATACTTGAAATATGCTAAGAGAGTAGCTCTTCTATCTGACTTTCAAATGCACTGCAGGGATCCTTTGTAGCCCTACTAGTCTCCCAAGTTACACTGGGCTCACACTCATAGGGAGGAGCAACTGCAGACCTGGCTTCCTGCAAAGCCCGTGAAATGGAAGGCTGGCCACCCAAGGTCCTCATAGTGGGTGATCCTCTTCTGAATGACTAAGCTGTGTTTTAGGGCATGAATCATACAGCAGACTTAAAGCCCCATGCTGAAGTTATATTAATGCTCTCAAAATACTGAACTTAAATTGAAAATTTCAGAAATTATATTTTCTTCCATTTTATTTAATATCATAGGAGATGATTAGAAATCTTTAACTCTATAACCTTTCTTATGCTTAGCACCCAATTTGTGAATTTCCTGTCCTACAACAACATACCTCTATTTACCTCCCTTTCCCACCCGCTAGCCCTGGTCCCTCTTTCCTTACCTGTTTCTCTACCCCTGCTTTGGGCTAGTGGGACTGTTTAATCCAACATCTTCCCCTTCACCATGTTTCTCACCCCCGTAGGATGCCCCCTGGTGTCCTCCACTTTCTYAACCTTTCCCATTTCTTTTCTCTTTCCTAAGAAGTCCTGCCTTACTTTTTGTGAACCCAAGTCAATGACATAACACATTTTAAATACCCAAGTTATGATTGATACATCTGAAAGCAATACTTGAGTTATCTAAAAGCAAGCAAACAAAAGTCCCTGGGTTTCAAGGCACTTGATGGAATGGAGAAACCAAGTCCTCTGTGACCCTGTATGGGATCCCCACAGTTTCATCAAATGCCAGAATTTAAAACACACTAAAACTATTTTTGTATTCAATCTGATTCATTCCCTTTTAAAATTACTACTGTAACATGATTAGTGTTTTATTCTATGTTGCACTTTTACACTCATAAAACCATTAACGGGGAATCTAGTTTCAGAATTAAGAACTACTTTATGGTTGCTTATATCATTCTTCCAAAGGTTAAATTGTTAAATGAAAAAAGGGACAAATTCCTCAAGGAAAAATAGATATGATTTTAATAAAAAAGGTTCAAGTATGAGGAGACAGGAAATTGCTGACTAAACATGTGTTCTTAAAAGAATTCCTCTCCTGTACTTTCACAAAGCTTGTATAGCCCTTCATGTTGAGGGAAACCTTGGAAATCATTAATCTAGACCACAAACCATGCTATTAATCCTGTATGATTTATAATGCTGGAGATAAAATACAGGGAATAAAAATGATAGCAGTCTATCCTGTCTCAGTAACATTTCAGAATTGCACCAATCTTGGAATTGAATTTTGAACTMTTTCTGACCAAGTGTCTTAATCAGATTCCATGGCCTGTCTCATCCAAAAGGTTCTCCCCCAGAGACCCTGCTCTCTGTAGAATGGTATTTGTCAGGAGTTTACTTGGAGTTAGAATTGCCCTGAGATCTCACATGATCGAATGTGGGATTCCGAAAAGGTAACTTCTCATGGAAGTTGAGCCACTGGCTATTTGTATGACTCAAGCAAACTCTCAAAATCTCACTTACCTCTTCTATACAACACACTTAATGGCACCAATATGCAGCGTCATTGTGGGAAACAAAAGTAAGAATGGCCGCACAAGGGTTCTACAAAATAAGAAGTGTCTTGACAAGAGTTACAATTTTCTGAGTATTGTGCATATAGAGGGCAAATGTTGAGGCTTTCTGTACATCATCTCATTGGATCTTACAATAATCTCAGAAGTGTTATGAACCTATTTAACAGATGAGGAAACTGAAGTCAAGGACGGTTAAGTAACTGACTTCAGGCCATGTAGATTATCATTGACAAAGGAGAGAACTGAACCTGGACCATCTACCACCAAAGCTCATAGTCTGAATCTATAGCAATCATGTCTCCTTGTATGAATATGAGTTTTTGATAGCAGTTTTATAGCCTTCTGATTTATTCTATAAGGAGATGAGGGGAATTAGCATTTTCATATGTTGCTAGTTAGTATACATCCTTTCTCAAARGAATTTTTGACTATTCACTATTACAAAAACAATTTAGGCCAATACCTGTATTTCAATACTTAGAGACTTATCTTCTGTTTTGCCCAGAGAGCAGAATTAGGACCAAGGAGTGAAGGCTTCAGAAGGGTAGCTTTCAACTCAGCAACTATCAGTAGAACCAGGTCCCTCTATTACTAAGAGAGTTCAGGAAAAGATGATTGGTTGTTGAAGTTCTTGTACTGGATGAGAGGCTTAGACTCCAAAATCACCTCCAGACTCTGAGAATCTTTTGATGACTGAATGTCGAAAGCAATGAAACCTTGGATTATTTTATAGGATCTAATATCATTATGACCTGACAGACTAAATGTAGATAAGATGTCTTAATTGATTTTCAGTGTTTTACAAGTCTGGCCTTTAGTATGACAGGAATGTTTCCTATGGCCAAACCACTAAGCTATTTGAAACATTGAATTTAACAAACATATTTAACACAATGTCTGATATCAAAGGCACTCAATACAGCCCTTGAGTGAATGAATAATGACCATTTTATAGTTAAGCTCTGAATTATTATTCTGGTCAATCTGGACAACATTTTTCAAGGGCCATTTTTCTTCTTAAATGTGTGTGTGTGTGTGTGTGTGTGTGTGTGTGTGTGTGTAAAGATAGCCTAGGTCGGAATTGAAATGGTTGTTGGCTGAAATGGTCACTTACGACCTATCAGGTGAGGGGAAGAGCTAGAGAAACAAATCATTTGCTACAAACCTACATTTTTGGTTTGTTTTTTGGTGCTGGAGTGGAACCCAGGGCCACATGCATATTARGCAGGTGCACTACCACTGACCTACACTCCTAGCTCCAGCAGTGTGTTTACAAGCAGAGTAGACATAGTTGAAGCTGTGAGGAGGAAAAAAATAACCTATGTTGACTCAAAGGAAATCAAGAGTTGGCCTGAGCAGAAGGAGAGGAACATAGAAATCTGCAAGGAGGTGGCCCCATGGGCTTCTCCACTGGGGCAGCATGGGCTCTGTGATGGGCAAAGCTACTATGGACCAGGCACCCCCAGTGGAGCCAGCAAAGCTGCCAAGCTCCTCATAGGCCAAGGCTGTCCTTTCTCMCTCGGATATTGGCAGATGTGTGCCCGCCTCTCAAGAGCTTTGACACAATGAGAACAGGGGCCACACAGCACTTTGTTGTTATTTTTCTTTTTAGTTTTTTATTGGTGTTTTATAATTATACATAATAGTGGGATTCGTTGTTACATATTCATACATGAGCAATATAATTTAGACACAATGTAATTTGGCCAATTTTGTTCCCCAGTACCTCCCTTTTACCTCCTCTGCTCCCTCCCACACAGCACTTTGAATCCTTCTTGATCTCTAGTTCTGAAACAATCCATAATCTCTCCTGTCTCAGTGTCTTGGACTTCCGGTGAAAGGTGATGTCTGGGGCAGAGCTGTCACTTCCAGTGTTGCCCAAATGACTTAGATTTGTGTTTTATTGTCCAAAGTACCACATTTTGCTTTTGTGCTATTTCCAGTTATGAGTTGTTTCTTAGGTTTCTGTGTAGGGTTGGCATCATGATGACCAGGACAAAGAGAAGGTGGTGACAGAGAAGAGAGGGGCTATTGGCCACAAGCGTTCTTTCTTTTGGATTTATCACTCATTACAGAATTGTTTGTGAGAGAAATTGGTGTCCTAAACATAGAGAAAGGAAGGAAAGATAAAGATAAAAATTCCTGTTCCTCATGAAAATCAAAGAAAGGTAGCATAAAGGAAAGGGACCAAGGAAAGACAGGAGGGAGGAAGAGGGGAAATAATAAGGAATGATTTGGGCCAAATTATATTGTTATATGGTGTGCATGTGCGAAATGTAACAATAAATYCAAAAATATGCACCAACAAAAATATGGTAAAAAATTAAAAATTAATTACTTGCCCACATATATACACACAAATTCTGTTGGTGAATTTACTTATTTATTTACCCACAGCCCCTGCACATGCTCCATAGCACTCTGCTTGTGTCTGTGTGGAGCACTTATGGCTGTTTGAGCTCCCTGTTCACCTCTCCATCACATACTTACCCCAACGTAAGGTTGTTTTCTATGTGCTCCCAGTTCCTCACACACTGAAATCTATGAATACATATTGAATGAATGAATAAATGAAGCTGTACCTTCCTGTCCACTGACTTAAAAATGCTACCTGATTAATTTGTTCTATTTCTTCCCCCATTCAGAAAGAAGATCTCCAAATATATTTTAAATACCATAGGAATCTGCCCCGAGCAATGGCCATCTGGCAAGAGTGTCAAGACTGCGCCTACTTTGGGGTAATGTTGAACTTAACAAAGTCTCCCACAGGTTGTTCTTCCTGGAAAATATTTATGTGCATCGAAATCAAAAGTGTGAACTAGGCAGAGAAATTTGGTAWTGGGATTTATATTTATTCCAAGCCTCCCAAACTTTGAAATGACACATTAGAAATTTCAATGCTGTCCTTGATGTCTATGGACCCCACGTGTGAGAAGCAGATAATGGTCTGGTGAGAAACCAGTATCCTCTTCTTGGGTGGGATTTAAAAATGGAACTAAGTCAAGAATGCCATACTTTGTGGCTCCCTGGAATGATGCCAACAAGCCATCTCTACCCGTCAGACTCCAGATGACCCAAATAGATGCCATCCTGCCTCCRGACGGGCTGCCTCCTTTTCAGAAAGACTTGAAATACCCACTGTCTACTGAATTTACTTCTGAAAAGGAAAAATGGCCCTGCTTCCTTAGTTCCTATAAAAATACAAGTCAAGCCACCCCTTCTCTCTTGTTCTCTCATTTCACATACTCTTTCTGGGGGGCGGGATGACTCGTGTGTGTGTGTGTGTGTGTGTGTGTGTGTGTGTGTGTGTGTGTGTGTTTTATATGTTTTGTTTTATGTAATTTCTGTTTGACTTTTAAAGGTATGCCAGCGTCAACTGGATCATAGTCTCCCTCTTTTTAAGTATCTTAGAGGACCAAGCCAGAGACTGATAAAATACCAGATGCTGTTGAAGGTAAAGTCATTGAGGTGGTGCTTTTCTGAGCCTGGAAAGCAAATTGCTTGCATTCTGCTGCTCTGCTCCTTACACATGTGGATTTGTGTCTGGTCTTCTGAGGCTCCAAATATGGCTGTCCTTCAGGCCTTTTTCCAAGCCTCAATCAGCCCTCCTTAATGAGGAAAAAGACCAGAGAATCAGAGTTGGAAGGAATCTTGGAGCCTGGCTAGTCTGACAACTAGCTTGGGCATGAATCTCTAGGGGCCTGACTCAGGGGAGGAGAGATCTTTGGGACCATTGTGGGGAGAGGGCTGTGGCCACAATGAGGGCAACTAAGAGGATAAGGGAGGTGGCCCTCTGATCTTCTCTGGGATATGTGAGATATCAATAGCTCTAATTTACAGATGAGGACTGGTACTTCGGAGAAGAGGTGTGATTTTCCTCAAAGTTACTATTTTGCATGCATTCAAACAAGGCAGAAAGAAGGCAAAATTGGAATTGTCTTTTACAACATCAACCTGCACACTTAGATTTAGGATCTTATCCAGAGAGCAGCCCAACAGCATGAATTTTGTTGTGTCTGCACCCCTAAGTGGCACAGGCATGCATGCTCTGCCCAACCCAACTTTCGTTCTCCTGTCCTTAGTGGTGAGTCATTGATCCCAGGATATCTGCAGGCCAGCACTCCTGGACACCCCAGACAGGACTTATGAGGCCCTATCAAGGCTAGTTTCACATGTGTAAACCTAAAGGAAAGGTTTGGGCTATCCCTACAAAATGTCTTTTGAATTAACAAGAGTCCAGTGGCTACTGACACTTAAAGAAAAGCAAAATCAATCAACAAAAATAWGCACCTACTGTTTGATGGGTACTTTACCACATGTATCTCATGTTTCATTTGCACAATCAGACATACCAGCAAGGCGCTAGAGTGTGAAGAAACTGAGGCTCAGGGAAGTTAAGGTCATGGCCCAGCATTCTGCCTTTAGAAGGAGTTACCCTTTCAGCTTCCATCCACAGTCTGAGCCTCACTGTACTGCTCGGCTGCTTAGTAGTCTGGAACCTTGACCTTTGGGGTTTTAGCTTTCTCCTATATAAAATGAGAGGAATAGTATCTCCTCCATCAGACTGTGGTAATAGRTAATATTCATAAAAAGTGTGGCACAGTGCTGACACCCCCCCCCSGAAGCTTCGTACCATGTGTAGCTGTTATTTTAGACACTGAGACCATCACACCAGTGTGGATAGGAAGAACGAGCTGACTGATGGCTTCCATCCACGAATAGCTATGAATGAATTTGGATACAGTGTTCATCAAGGGCCTTTTATTCTTCTCCCATCCCCTTTTACTGTCATTTTTACTTTGGATGTCTTAAAACTGGGCCCTTAGAATAGGACATAATGGTGGTCTTTCCTCCCTTGGAGTTTTCCCACAAGTGTTATTTATGTTAAAGCTGAGTTCTCTTCCATAGGAGAGCTATAGACACAGTAATTAGCAACACAGCTTCAGTAGTTAGTCATGCATTTTCTTCCTTCCATATAAATGAAATTTTAATGGAAATTCAAAATTAAGTGACTATGTTAAATGCAAACAGTTGGAATCTCTGCTCTGATGCTTCCCAGCTGCATGAACTCTTTCAAGCCATTTAAACTGTCTCAAATTCCTCACTGTAGAATTAAGGTAACAGTGCTTTCCTGGTATGCTTTTGGGGAACACTAAATGAGATAATACAGATTGAAAGTGCTTAGAAAGTTTTCTYAGCTGCTATCACTGAGGAAATGAGATAGAATCACTATAAAATATTCTTTATGGGTCTATGGGAGGCTACCCAAGGCAGACCAGTTGTTCCCATTGCTAAACTTGCTGTGTGCCTGGAATTAGAAGTACTAACTGTCGGCATGCTGTGGCGACAGAAAGAACTGTGTAGCATTCTGTCACCTGAGGGAAAAAGCTCATTCATCAGCTGCTTGGAAGGGCATGGATGTTGGACCAATTGTCTTGTGGCTTAGAAAGCATCATGAGAACCTGATATAGGGAGTCCTTTCTAAATATAAAAGAAAAGGTAAGAAAGGATAGTCTGCCCAACAAAATCAAAGAAACATGAAAATATTAGCAAAATAAGCGACAGTTGGTCAGTATGCATAATTAATAATGAACTCTCAGAAATTAATAATAGAAAAACATAGAATAAAGGAAATTTATTTTAAAAAATTAATAAAAGTCAAGTGTGGTAGCACACACCTGTAATTCCATCTGCTGGGGAGCCTGAGGCAGGAGGATAGCAAGTTCAAGGCCAGCCAGGACAATTTAGGGAAACACTATCTCAAAATAAAAGAAAAAGGGCTAGGGGGGTGGCTCAGTGGTAGAACATTTGCCTAGCATATGTGAGGCCCTAGTTTCCATCTCCAGCACCAAAGGAAAAAACAGAAGAAGAAACACTAGGCAAACATTTTTTTTTTAAGTTTTACCTGACATACTATTTGAGGAATTCAAATTAAAACAACAGTCAGGATTTATCTGTCACTTCAACTGGTGAAGATTTGTGATTAAATAGTAATGCCCTATGTCAGGTAAGGGCTGGAGGAACAAACTGTCATTTATAGCTGGCAGGAACACAGTCCTTCTCTGAAAAACTTGAAAATATGCCCCAGAACTCTATTTCTGCAGTACTGGAAATTAAACTGAGAGTTTTATGCATACTAGGCAGGCATTCTACCACAATGATGCACCCCAATCCTTTTTTTCCAATTTTAATTTCATGATGGATCACTGAGTTGCCTCTGCTGTCCTCAAACTTTTGATCCTCCTGCCTCAACTTCCCAAGTAGCTGGGATTACAAGAGTGCACCACCATAGTTCACACCTCAAAACTCTTAATATTTACAATTTTATGTCTAGGAGTTTATTCCCAGGAAAAATGCACAAAAATTATTATAGTAAAAAATTGTTGAACTTGAACCTTCAACAGCAGAGAAAACTGTGATTCATAAACATAATCCAATCATGGCTTATCTGTAGGATGCAATACTTTGCCACAATCAAAAACTATGTTTTAAAGAAAACTATGGTCATAAGGAAATGTTCCTGATGATATCTATAGAGTGAGAAAGACTTACAAGTGGTGTGTACCATGGGGTTGCATGTGTAGAAAGAAATCTGTGCCAAAGATGTCATTCATTCTCTCCCTCTTAAAAATTTACACACAGACAGTTTCACTTTGCAGATTGTGCAGTAGATTTTGTCGGCAATCGACTCCTTGATTTTCAACAGGGCTTTTGGGTTAATGCAGGGTCTGCTGGATCTTGAATCTCCTGAAGATGTGGAAATAGACCCAGGAGGTCTAGAAGGAGGCTCTACCAAGGTAATGTATAAATATCACATTTTTTACAAAATGGTGTTTGCCAATGCTTAGGAGGACTTAACCTCTGTTAACAGTCTAAATTTTCTAAAATAGTATGTATTTCATAAATCATAGTTTAAAAAGGCAATTTTGAAGTAAGGATTTGCAGCATAATAAGGAGTACTAATGTGTTTTTTTTCCTTCCACATAAATAAATTTTAACGGGAATTCAAAATTAAGTGAAGATGTTAAGTATACATAGAAAGACTAGAAGTAAATATTATAGAATCTCTGTGGTTTTTTTGGCATGACAGGATTATGTATGATTTATAGTTTCTTCTTTTTACTTCTTAGCATATCGAATTTGTATAAATGCTGTGTTCTCCTCTGTGTATGTGTGTGTATGTGTGTGTGTTTATATGTGAGTGTGAATTCTAAAAGACACTTGGAGGCAATGGTAGCCATACCAGGTTAAAAAGAAATGTTGTGGCTTAGCAACAGGGTTTCTTTTCAATTTTCTATAGAATATTCTYGTTTTAACAAGAAATTCTTGAGTTGTGTCCGGGAGCAGTCATTTACATGTCCTCTCCACTTAGAGCATAGGATGAGGACCCCTTGCAATCAGAAGATGCTTGAAGTATAAGGAATCATTTTGCATCCTGGGGCAAGAGGAGCTAGCCATAAGTAGAGGGGTATAGTAAATTGTGTAATTATTTTTCTGGGCCCTACATTGTACAGTGGAAAACTAGTTGTCTCATGTGTTTGAGATAAGGGTTAATAGAAAGGACAGGGGAGAGGTGCAGAAAGGTATCTAAAACAAAAACAGAAGTTTTGGGTAAGGAGAAAGATGCCTGGCATACAAACTTTAGATTCCTTATTTCTGATGTTTAAAAAAAAAAAAAAAAAAAAACTCAGGTGAGGTTGGGCACAGTGGTGCACACTTGTAATGCCAGCAGCTTGGGAGGCTGAGGAGGGAGATCACAAGTTTAAACCAGCCTCAATAACAGTAAGGCACTAAGCAACTCAGTGAGACTTTGTCTCTAAATAAAATACAAAATAGGGCTGGGGCTGGGGATGTGGCTCAGTGGTTGGGTACTCCTGAGTTTAATCCCTGATAAAAAAAAAAACTCTGGTGAGAGTCTGTCTTTCACCAGGAAATGAAACTTGTTATGCGTGAGAAGGTGAAAGGCCAYGCTACATGGTTCCATGATCTGTTCAATTCATCAGCCCTGCCATTTATCTCTGATCCAAAGATGCCAATACCCAGTGCTTCAGTARACATTAAGAAAATACACTGCCCTTTCCCTACATCATGCTGTTGAAGACAAAAAGAGGTGGGGCCAACTGGGAACAGTGAAGAGCTATCCATTCTTTGTTGTAGAAATTGAAATGTTAAAAAAAAATACATAGAACAAACCAGAATCTTTTTGTTCTGTTTCTGTTACCAGGTGACAGATAAATATGCCATGTAGGTGGCAGGGGAATAAAATACTGAAATCCCTAACAAAAGCCTTTCAAGCTGAAACAATCCTCCCTGTCACAGCTGTCCTTAGTGTTGCCCTGGTAATAACTGGAACATGGGTCCCTATGGCTTTTCCACTTAATGCTGTCTTTCTATTTGGGAGGTGCAGACTGCACTGGCTTATCTCTTTGGTATCTCTAATTGTGGTGGAATGTGGGCAGAAGTGGGGGAGAAGTAGAGGGAGGAAATGCAGAGCTGGAAAAGATTCAATGTGCCACATGCTACTGTTTTGACTTTGAGTGTAACTCATTAGTGAACCTTCACAAGGAAGCCAATTCTTTGCCTTTTATCAGAGTTCACTAATTTCCTCCTCTGGGATGGTTCCAAGTTTAATTTTACCCACAGGAATAAGACTTCGCCATTAAATATGGGAATATGATACTTAGATTGTCTTTTGCAGTAAGCCCTAAGAAGTAAGGGTATTGCCAGTTAAAGAGGCTAGGTTTTTTCCTGTTTTAAAAAAAGCCCACTTTTTTTTTTTTTGTACCAGGGATTGAAACCAGGGGCACTTAACCACTAAGCCACATTCCCAGCTCCCCCACACACACACTTTTTAATTTTTTATTTAGAGGCAGGATCTCACTAAACTGCTTAGGGCCTTGCTAAATTGCTGAGGCTGGCTTTAAACTCACGATCCTCCTGCCTCAGCCTACCAAACCACTGGGATTACAGGCATGTGCCACAGTGCCTAGCAAAAAAGCCCTCTTCTGTCTGTATCTTACACAGCAGGAAAATAATGTCTACAATTTCATTAATACAAATACAGAAGCTTCCAGGGATGATTTTGCTTGCCTCTACTGCAAATGTCTTAAACCARCAAATGACTTCAGCTACCAACTCTTGGGAGCAGGAGAATGTTTAGTGCATCCATCCTCCCAGTCAGTGCTGGCTGGGTCTTGGTTCCTTGATTCTGTCCTGTTTTCTGTTTTTGCCTGATAGATGGTACACTTTTGATTTCTAACAATGCGTTTGTTTCCACAGGATGGGCCAAAGAGGACCGAAAATTCCTCATTCTCAGCTGAGCTTGGACAAGCTTTGGCAGTGATCGAGGATTTGATCAAGTCCTGTGACTTGGCGGTGGACCTAGCAGCAGTCTCTGGATGTCCGGTACGTTCCATAGCAAATGTTGGAAGATTTCACATCAAAGGTGGGCACAGTATTCCCAAGGTGGGAGGTGCTGAGGCACACTCAGAGAAATCATCTACAATAAAGAAATTGAATTCTGAGGAAAGTCACCTAAGTTGGTCAGCAATCTGTGCCAGGAGATTGTGAAAAGCCCCTTAGCATTCTTAGGGATCTTGGTTTATACTCCTCAGGGTCCTGAATGTCATGCCATTCCACCTTCTAAACAAATCAGAAACTCAGGGGCCAGGATTCATACAAAGGGCAAAAGCGCTGAAGGAGTAGTATTTTTCTAACTCACTATTAAAATATTAAAAGATTGTCCTTCTTGCTTCAGAGTTTCTCTGTGAAAAGTATTTGTGTGTGTGTGTGTGTGTGTGTGTTGCTGGGGCCTTGTGCATACTTATCTGCACATACTCTGCTACTGAGCCACACCCCCAATCCAGTGTGAAAAGTATTTTGAAAATGAGTCCTACATGAGAATCTAGCCCCATTTAACATCACAGAGTCCAAAAGAGGCCCAACAAGTATTGTACAACCCTTAATCCAAAGGACTCAAAGAAAATGCATTGAGAGGCCAATGCTGGGGAACTGAGCCATGTCAGCTTGAGCACAGCTCTAATCCTGAGCAGTTGGGCCCCAGTCCAGGCAAATCATCTCCGGTAGCTGTATAAYATCTCAAGTCTGGGATATGGTTAATATTTAACTGTTTTCACTTTGAATTTCTCTAGATTTCAATTCAAATATATTTGCTTCCTGACACTGTCATAACAACTTACCACAAATTTGGTAGCTTAGAACAACACAAATTATCTTACAGTTCCAGGATCAGAAGTTCAACATAGTTTCATGGGCTAATAAAATCAAGGTGTCTGCTTTCTCCTTTAGAGTTCTTTCCGTTTCCTTGAGTTTTCCAGCTTGAGAAGGCCACTCCCAGTTGGGCTCTGTGGCACACGCCTGTAATCCCAGTAGCTCAGGAGGCTGAGCCAGGAGGATCACAAGTTCAAAGCCAGCCTCAACAAAAGTGAGGTGCTGAGCAACTCAATGAGACCCTGTCTCTAAATAAAATATAAAATAGGGCTAGGGATGTGACTCAGTGGTTGAGTGCCCCTGAGTTCAATTGCTGGTACCACCCACTACCCCAAAAGGCTACCCCTATTCCTTGGCTTGTAGCTGTTCCTCCAGCTTCAAAACCAGAAGTTGGGAGGAGGGGAGTTCTCCAGTCACATCACTCTGGCCTGTGCTTCTCTGCCACATATAAGAACCCTTGTGATTACTTGGACCCTGCCAGATAATCCAAAATAATCTATTTGTAACCTTAACTTCCATTTGTCATGACAGTGTCAGATTCTGGGGATTAGGATGTGGACATCCCTGGGAAGCCATTATTCTGCTCACCTAACAGTATTCAGCATTCTGAGAATTACATTTCAGACAAATACTTTCTCTCTCTCTCTCTCTCTCTCTCTCTCTCTCTCTCTCTCTCTCTCTCTCTCTCTCCTGGTTCTTACTACACTGTTTATTGAAATCTCAGAAGAGTCAATGATCTTTTTTTCCTGTCCTTGTCACACATCAAACCTTGCAAACTAATTAGGGGGAAAAAATGATCCTTTAACTTCCCTTCCTCATGGTATTTCTTTGGACAGCATCTAAGAAACTTTGCCCTACTGGGTTTGCTGTGATCCTGGACAATGATGCTATTCTGTCCTCTGGGACACCAACGTGCTCTCTGCTTACAACTRATGCATGATTCAGGAGGGTATTCGTGAACTACAGGGGGTGACATTAAGGTGTGTGTGAGAGGGGATCATTTTCTTGGTATTAATTTTTCTTTCTTCAACTAAGGAGCATCAAGGGAACAATTTGCATAATCATTTTGGCACATCTTTCTGTTCTTTTTTTTTTTTTTGAATCATGTGTTAGCTACTTCTATTAGGTATCTATTTCCCTGAATCCAATAAATAAATTTCCTAGAAACAATACACGTCAAGAAGTGTAAATAACATCTGAGTGTTATGGTGGGGAGGGGGGAGTTCTGGGGAAAAAATGATTAAAATATAAGGAAATAACAATCTGCCCTAATTTCATCCCAAGCCAGCTTGTACGCAAATAAAATGAATCAGTTTATAAAATTTTAGAGATTTCACACTAAATTCAAAGGGCTGTTTTTGTACCTTTGCCATATGCTCTGTAATTTCTTTCCTAAGACCTTCATCTGCTATTATATCTAATACATTAGTAAATTTATCCTGACAGTTTTTGTAGTCTCCTATTGAATTATGGAGGAATTTTCAACTWTTTCTGATTCAAGAGCAAATCCATGGAATGAATAGTTAACTAACCCAAGAGTACGTGGGCATCAGCTGGGACTATTTCTTTTTCACATCCTATCCAGGGTACCATCTACCCTCTATCTGGTTCTCCTTGGCATTGACATAACATCTTAACTACTACTAATTCAGATCACCAGATCAAAGATCTTTTGGCTCAGTTTTATAGAGCTTTTTGTCATGGTATTTATAAACACCTGTGGTATACATAGATAAATCCAGAGCTTAACCTCTTTGTTTTTTCTACTTTAAACCCAATATTAACCTGGTTTTGAAAAGGAAGGAAATTGAATATTGGTGGATCAATTTGTAATTAAAACAACTAGGAAAAGAAATCCTTTCTAATATTTACATTTTTCCCTGTTGGATATACTCATTTAGTCTTTGGTTTAATTAAGTCACAAAAGTTTTAACAAGTTTTTAAAGCAGATTTTTTTCATAGATGCTGAATTGTAATCTACTTCCCTCCAATTGCAAAAAAAAAAAAAAGTTTATTATCCAATGGGTAATAAAGATCATGTAAATCCCGACTTGCCAGGAACAAGTTCCAAGGAACAAATAAAGATTGGTGAAAAAATTTCATTCCCAGAACAAATGTGCAGAATTCAATAAAAGGCATATTTTTAATTACAAGGTCATTGTGAGCTAGGTCCAGATGTTTTATTTCTGTTTCAGTTTCTACTTTCCTCACTCTAATGTTGCTACAGAGATGAGGCTGAGTAGACAACCTCAGCACTCAGTAGATTGCCTTGAGAATCTTCCCACCCTCAGGAGACCTGTGTCAAAGCGTGGCTATTAGGAGTCAGTGAGGCCTACATCCCAGGTGAGGCACGTGGCACCTGCCTGGCACCCCACAGATGCTGATTCAGTGGCCCTCCTGCTGAGTTCCTTGGAGCCTAATCATCAGGCTGGGATTGAAAGAGCTCTTTGCCTCTGCCTGTTGTGATCACTCCTCCCACAGTTTCTGCTTTTCATTTCTCAACCAGGCAGTGTGATGATTCACTTATCCAGATGGTTCCTGCTTCTCTACGTGAGAAGTATAGAACCTGGGCACATTCGCTCACACTGCCAGGGATGAAGAGCACCCCAAAGAAGTCTCTTTCTAGTGTCACTTGGTTCATTCTCTTGGGTTGATTCTTCAGTTGGCCCATGTAGTCACATTTGAAATTCTTATATCACAGCTCTTGCTTGCAAATTGCCCATAAGTGAAAATGATAGCGTTTACTAGTTTATTTTGCCTTGGTGTTTCCTATGGAGGAGACTATCTGACTTGCTTGTTTGTTTAAGGTAACCCTGGGTCTCATCTCTGAATGCATAAGCATCAGATTCTTCAACAACATACCATTTGACACAGCCACAATTCTTTGTCACTGTTAGAATATGGTCGGGACTATATTGGTTTGCTAGGGCTGCTATAGCAAAGTACCACAAACAGAGCGACTTAAAATAGCAGAAATTTATTCTCTCACAGTTGTGAAGTCTAGATAGCCAAAATCAAGGTTTTAACAGAGCTGTGTTCCCTCTGAAGGCTCCAGGTAAGAATCTTCCTGGCTTCTGGTTGTCACTGGCAATGCATAGAGTTCCTGAGCTGACGGTAGCATTACTCGAGCGTCTGCCTCCAGGTTCACATGCCTGTCTTCCCTCTACTGTGGATCTCTGTATTTGTGCTCTTTTTATAAGGACATTAGTCATTGGAGTAGGCCCCACCCTAATACAGTATAACTCATCTTAGCTAATACATCTGCAAAGATCCTCTTTCTGGATAAGATCACTTTCTGAGGTTCCAATTAACAGGGGGAAGCTATTCAAACCAAGTACAGGGGCGTTACTGAATTAACTTCTTGAATACATCAATATTTTCTCACAGTATTGAGTATTTAGTTCTATGTCCCTTGCCCCCAAATGCCATGAAATGACAATAAATGAACAAATACTAGGGGACAAGTATCTGAAAATGGTTGTGCATGTGATCTCAAGCCTTGATAAAGATCATGTAAAGGGAGTGACTACAGGAAGACTAAAAAAGAAATTTCAGAGGTGATGAAACACAAAAACACTTGAGACCACATACAGTCTGGTTGGAAAGAAGAGAAGCTAAATAATTGTCCAAGGGCCATGCTTGGTCCTGCTCGGGGAAATCTCCCCACCACTTTCCTTTGGAATTTGGGTGGCTTCGACACAGACATGTGTCCTGCCAACAACGAAGTATTTGTGCCTGCTCTTCCCCAACACTGTACCTACAGGGTATGTGGCTTTGCCTGCTGAAGATTGGGCCTTAAACACTGAGGTGTTCACTCCTCTCATAGGCCCGTGAGAACATCTATGCAAGATGACCCAAAAAATGCACAACCAGTTTCAAGCAGTCTAGATAGACCTGGTGATTCCCTTCMGAGAATTTAGGTGGTGGGCTTATCAGAAAAGCTGACTCACAGAGCTGCAGGTAGAGTCAAGACAGTAGCATAGCTGGGCTCACAGAGAGGGGGACTGAACCCAGGATCTATAGCAGCTCTGGGATCTTGGCCTAGGGAGGGATTTGAGGTTCTCACAAGTGTACCTGCTTCTGTGTACCCGGTACAGCCCATACCTGCTGTCCTCTCCTCTTACCCACTGATTACTGTTCTTTTCCTCCATTAGTGCCTTTTTCTCTTCCTCATAGTTTCTTCTGACTCATTTTCTTCATAGTTCTCCTCCCTTCTTGTTAATCACACAGCTTGTCCACAACTACAACTCCTGCTGGTCACTGTCTCCTCCTCAGTTTTCTTTAGTTACAGAGGGATTATTATGGTCAACCAAGGGCCCTGTGTCAGCTGTTGGCCCTTTTCTGGATTCACAAACCTGAAAGTAGCTGTGACTACAGGGAGACTAAAAAAGAAATTTCAGAGGTGATGAAACACAAAAACACTGCTGCCTAGCCGGGCATGTGGGCACATGTCTATAATTCCAGCAATTTGGGAGATTGAGACAAGAGGATCACAAGTTCAAGGCCAGCCTCAGCAATTTAGCATGGCCCTAGACAATTTAGCAAAACCTGTCTCAAAATATAAAAAAGGCTGGGGATGTGACTCAGTGGTTAAGCACCCCTGGGTTCAATCTCTGGTACCAAAAACACATTGCTTCCTAAGGTTACCTCTTCAGCAGGGCTGAGGTCAAGGCTTCCTATACAACAGCCAATGCATGACCTTGGCAGACACCTACCTGCCTTTGCCCAGGCTTCTACAGGTCATTCATTAGAGAGTGTACAATTGGACTTATTCTTCATCCCCATCCTCCTGTCTCTTTTAGAATTGCTTTTACAGCTACGCTGTGAAGTGATACCTCCACATTGACCAAATATGTTCTAAATACTGATGTGTATTTTAAGTAGCAGCATTGACTAAAATACATTCATCTATTTATTGTGGGATGTAGTTGAGGATGTAGCCTGGACCGGTGACCCAGTAACCCTTTATCCTGTGGGAGGAATTTTTCACATGTACTAACAGGAATTGCTGTGCTTTTTCTGAACAGGTGGTGTGTATACATCTTTGGACATAATGAATCATATAACTCACCCCTTTTTCTTCTCTACTGCCTACTAGAAAGTCAGAACCGAAACTAGTATGAGTTTACATGGCCTTACCATATGGATTTTATGCACCATATGGTCAGGTTGTATGTATTTTTGAAATGTATATCAAATTTGTGAAATAAGACCATTTAAAAATAGAAACTATCAGTAATAGTTGTTCATGTGGCAAATATTAAATACCCACTTCTAACATGTGCTTTCTGCACTACTTATACTTTTATCGAATACAGAATGAGTGCTTGTAAAGGAGAAATTTACTGAGGAGTGGGGTGATTACACGTGAGTGAGTCCCAGAAGGATGAAGTCAGAGTGAAAAACTCTTCAAAGTGTCCAGGAATGTGGTCAAGTGGAGCCCATGCTATACAGAACAGGAGGCTCGTGCTTGTGGGAAAGAAGGTTCCAAAGCTGAGGCTCACCATTCCTCAGTGAGGGTTTCATTTGCCTCAGTTTGTACTTGTCAACTTTACAAAACAAAAGGAGAAAATTAACCCAGAAAATATGCCACAAGCACTATAGAAATGACTAGAATGTATTGCTCTTAAAATACAGCCATGCTTTATAAAAAGATATTCACAATTTGTTTGCTATATAAACAGTAAATCACAAACATGCCCAATAGGTTCTAAATACAGTACATATATTTTTACTATTAACTCTCAAAAACTGTGGAGGTTCCCAGTGTCTCTGAAGGTTAAGGCAGGAGGATCACAGATTCAAAGTTCAGCAACAGCAAGGGGCTAAGCAACTCAGTGAGACCCTGTCTCTAAATAATATACAAAATAAGGGATCTGGGAATATAGCTCAGTTGGTAGTTTGCCTCGCCTACACAAGGCCCTGGGTTCAATCCCCAGCATCACAAAAATACATAAATAAATAACAAAATAGGACTGGGGATGTGGCTCAGTGGTCAAATGCCCCTGAGTTCAATCCTTGGTACCAAAACAAAAACAAAAACTGTGGAGCTTTATCTCAGCTAGATATAATTAAGGGAAATTTCTTTGTCATGGCCCCATTCAAATAATTTCTTTTCCTTCTGAAAAGAATCCTTTTGATTCATAGAAGTAAATTCTTGATTATCTGGTTTAAGTGACTTAATTTTTTAAAAATACTAGAAAACCAGTCTTTAGTTCTTCCCACTCCCCTGGAAGTGAGCTGAGAGAGGACAGCGCTATCTCATGTGGACTTCCAGCAGACACATGGGAAAGGCAGGCTCCCTGGGGAAGGAGAGGCAGCCATGGTGTGTGCCCTGGAGACAAACAGGCTTTGTTAAAAAAAAAAAAAAAAATGTGTCATTTGGGATTATTTTGTCATTGTTCCTCACTCTGAAAAGCACAGAGTAAAATGTAATTACTATTCCTATTGCAATGCTATGAAGGAGAGGCTGTGCTATGCTCTTTCCTTTCAGAACAAACCTTCTATTCCCTGAAGCAGATGTTAGGATACAGGTAGAACACCCACCATCTCAGGTCCATATGCAACAAGAATTCTCYCTCTTGTCCCTTTTAAGTAGACTGTCATGTATCAAACATGAAGAAGATAAATCAGAATTCTGCTAWCTAAAGTGAATTATAAGATAGAATATCAGAGTGGCAATATCTTTAGTTCCAGGATTCCTAACATCCTTTATGTATGTGTCTTGCATAGCTGAACTTACTTCCTTACATGACAAAATGACACCATGATCAGCAAAGCCCTCGAAATTATAGTTTTGACTTAGGGACGGGTTTTCCCAAGTGGCATTTCTAGAATTGTAAACTTCAAATGAGTGTGCTTTATAATTTGAAAACCAATCCCTAAGCATTGTGTATCTGCCAAGTACTTTAATGGCATTTCTTTCTTTCTTGGTGTGTTTGTTTTCAAAAGGATGATATCGGGAAACTGGGCAAGCTGTTGATGCACGGCCCTTTCAATGTCTGGACAATTCACAAGGATCGTTATAAAATGAAGGATTTTATTAGATTTAAACCCAGCCAGAGGCAAATCTATCTATTCGAAAGAGGAATCGTGTTCTGTAAGATTCGAATGGAGCCTGGTGACCAGGGGCCATCTCCTCATTACAGCTTTAAGAAGTGGATGAAGGTAAAGGGAATCCTAATATACCTGGAGTCACCACCATCTGGGGACTGAGAAGAGAGAGATGGTTTCCCCTTATTTTACAGAAGAGGAAACTGAAGCTTTGAGGGGGAAGTTCAACTTGCCAAATGCTTCACAGCTGAGCTGGAATCCATACCCAGGCCTGCCAGACTCTAGACAGGGCTTGTCGTCAGTCCCTACAGGGCTGGGGAAGGCATAGGGGTGGCTGCATGCTAGATAAGACAAAAGGGACCTTTCTGTGGCTTGTCTGGAAAAACTAATCAGTGAAAGTAAAGAGRAATCTTTCCTCTGGGCAGATTTGGTGATTAAAGCACAAGCTGGGTCTCATCTTAATCTTCTCAATGTTATATTTTTGTGTATAAATGCAGACAGCATCCTCACTCTGACTGTGGGGGTCCATAAACCCCCTATCCACATCAAGTCTTGTCTCTCACCTGAATAGGAAATGTTTTATAGCCTGCTAGCTATGAGACAGACACACACAGAGACATACACACACTCTCACTTATATCTTGTGATTAATTAAAGCTATCTATTCATGTAGTTTTCTTTATTTATATTTCTTAATGGATACTCATTCAATTACCATTAAACACAGATTTGTGAAGTAGGTGTTACAGAAGAGGTGATTTCTTCACTCAAAGGTGGAGTGCTATGCCCTCCTCAGGGAAAGCATATCTCTGAAACAAACAGAACAGGGGATGCTGTACCAAACTATGTTTTATGCTGCCTTGGGGACATGCACAGAGGAAAGCAAAAAACATTTGGAAGGAAGATGAAAGGGACCTGTTAAGGGTAGAAAAATATTAGAGGGGCAGATTGACAATTTAAATGTCAAAAAAAAAATGCTGATACAGAACACTTCTTTCTTTACAATAGTTGGTGACACTTTCAATTCGCCCACTTGGAAGGGGGGGCAATAAAAAGTTTGAAATTGCCAACCGAAATGGACTTGAGAAATACATCCTGCAGGTAAAGCCCACACCTCGTTCTTGGTTTTCCTTTGCTCTTTCCCTCTTGTGTTTCCGTAATTCGACGAGGGATCTTCTGTCTCCTTACTCTAAAGATCATGCAGAGAACAAAAGCCCTGTGCTTAATACTCAGGGTGATCTGATACTCATAGCATTTTCTTACCTGTAATTGCAGGCAACCTCAAAAGAAATCAGAGATTGTTGGTTTTCAGAAATAAGTAAATTATTGATGGAACAACAAAACAATATTAAAGGTAGGTTATCTCTGCTGACTTCAGTCTGGAGCATTATTCTGATTGCAATGGGTGCAGGCTGGGGATGTTGTCAAAGAATGTTTTGTCAGAAAATTAACTGTGGTCACATGTTCATGCCTGTGCTTGCTTTAAATTGACTRGGTTTGGGGGAGGGGCACAGTTGTGTGTGGTTGCACTGAAGTGTCCCTTTTAGTTATGTTCCTACACACACCTAATTGCTAAGGTCGACTGCTCCCAAAAGCCACCTGAGAAAATATGAACAGGGAGTCAAATAGCCAACATTGCCTTTCAGAAACTGTATTACCTTTTTTCCAAAGTTGAGATAAAATTCACATATCATAAAATTTGCTCTCCTATTAAAGCGTATAATTCCAGTGTTTTAGCCYATTCACAATTGTACAAGGTTGTCTAATCATCCCCACCCTAACTTTAATTCTAAACTGGAACATTTTTATAACACCTCACTAAAAAAATCCTGTATCTATTACCAGTCATTCCCCATCTCCCGCCCCCCSCCCCAGCTGCTGGCAACCACTAATCTACTTTCTATTTGATTTTCTTACTCTAGATACTATAAAAAAGTAACTCTTCCTGTCAAAATGYTTTCACTTAGCATTTTTTTTCAGGTTTTATCCACATTGTAGCATTAATCAGTACTTTCTTCCTTCTTATGGCTAAATTATACTCCAGTGCTTGGATGTATCATTGTCTTAGTTCATGTTTTGCTGCTATAACAGAATACAATAGACTGGGTCATTCATAATTAGCAGAAATTTATTGGCTCATAGCTCTAGAGATTGGGAAGTCCAGGATTAAGGGGCTGGAATCTGCTCAGGGTCTTCTCTGCATCATCCCACGTGGCAGAAGGTAGAAAGAGAGAGGAAGGAAAGAAAGGAGAGAGCGCTCATGTGTACACACACACATGCACATGTATGTACATGGAAGGAGGGCAAACTTGTCCTTTTATAAGGGCCCACTCTTGTGATAACAAAACCACCCCACAATAATTGTATGAACCCATTCATGAGATTAGTGCCCCTATGACCCAAATATCTCCTATTAGGACCCACCTTCCACTGGGGATCAAGTTTCCAACACAGGGGACACATTCAAATTATAGCAATCATATTTGTTTATCCATTCATCAGGTGATGAACATTTGGGTTATTTACACTTTGTGGTTTTTGTAAATAGTGGTGCTACATATTTTCATGTAAGTTTTTTTTTTTAAATGTGAGTCCTTATTTCTAAATTTCTTGGATAKTGAATGGAATTGCTAGATCCTATGTTAATTCTAGTTAACTTTCTGAGGAGCTTCCAAATTGTTTTCCAAGGCAGTAGCACCATTTCAGATTCACACCAGCAATAAATAAAGGTTCCAATGCTCATTATTATCTATTGCCGAAGGGGGTTATAGCTCAGCGGTAGAGTGCTTACCTCTCACATGTGAGGCACTGAGTTCGATCCTCAGCACCACATAAAAATAAATAAATGAAGTAAAAAGATATTATGTCTATTTTTTTAATATTTTAAAAAATAATAATTATTATTGCCATCCCAGTGGGTATGAAATGATAGCTCATTGTGATTTGATTTGCATTTCCCTATAACTAGTGATGTCAAGTATCTTTTAATGTGCTTATTGGCCTTAGGTATATATTTTCTTTGAAGAAAAATCTATGTCCTTTGCCCTTCTTTTTTTTTTTTTTTTTGTACCTGGGATTGCACTCAGGAGCACTCAACCACTGAGCCACATCCCCAGCCCTAATTTATATTTTATTTAGAGACAGAGTCTCACTGAGTTGCTTAGCACCTCGATTTTTCTGAGGCTGGCTTTGAACTCATGATCTTCCTACCTCAGCCTCCCAAGCCTCTGGGATTACAGGTGTGTGCCACAGTGCCCAGCTCCTTTGCCCATTTTTAATTGGCTTCTTTTATGGCTGAGTTGTAGTGCTAGTTGGATACCAGAACTCCTGTCAAATAACATTTTGCATTTGAGCGTTTGTTTTCACTTTCTTGGGAGTGTTCTTTGAAGCACAAATTTTTTTTTTACTTTGATGAAATTCAATTTGTCTGTTTTTTTTCCTTTAGTTGCTTATATTTTGGATATTTAAAAAACCATTGCCTAATCCAAGGTGATGAAGGTTTATACCTAAGATGTCTTCTAATAATTTATAGCTTTAACTCTTGCATTTAGGTCTTTGATCCATTTTGAGCTAATTTTTTTTTAATTCTTTAGTTGTAGATGGACACAATACCTTTATTTATCTATCTTTATGTGGTGCTGAGGATCAAACCCAGTGCCTCACCTGTGCTAGGCAAGTGCTCTACTACTGGGCCACAACCTCAGCCCCTGATCTAATTTTTGTGTGCTATTCTTTACCATCATTGTAGACTGTTGTTTTCCAAGGCTACCCCAAGAAGGAAGGGGAAGTTAGGAACAGGGTGAGTTAAGACACCACAAATCTCACTGCTCAGACTGAGGTTCATTTTGAACAAATGATCTCCAGATTTCACTGCAAACCTTTAATTTCCAGTTTTCTGAAAAAAAAATGTTACTGACAATTTTTGCCAGCTTTACCCTCACACTTTCATGGTAAAGAGAATTTTTGAAAGTTTTATTCCCCACCATTTTCACTAATGTCACTCACAATAATTGAAAGTCATCTTTACCCTTTCACATTTGTATCATTTAAAGGATCCTCAATCCTCCTCATAACAGGGGAGGGGAAATTCACACCAGCCTTCATCAATGAAGTTCCAATTGGTCAGGTAACATTGCTAGGGTTGAGAAATGCCAATATTATGTGAAAAATCTATCCCTGTCATTTATTCTGGCAATGATTTATGACAAACACACACGCACACAGACACACCACACACACATAAAGTTGTATAAAGTAAGGAAAATTGCATAAAAAATGAAAAGATAAATTTCATCTTTAGAGACTTGGCAAGAATTCGACCATTTCTCACTCTTTCTGTGTCTCCTCTGATCATCATCTAGTGGGAGGACAGGAGGGCAGGTGTGGAGAATGTGCACAGAGGAGTTTTCCATATGGTTAGATGTGGAAAAAGATACACTGAGAAGTAGGACTGGAAAACTACTATTTCTGTTTCTTGTCACAAGAAAGTAACAAAAGTTCTTGATTTAAACTCTAGGCCTCTACCAGGATAGATAAGTTGATTTTAATTTGCATAGAAACTATGATTACTTTTGCTTTTCAGCTATTAATACTACATTGAATGTGGTAATTAAGTCTGAGTGCCCTTAAGGCTTAAAACAGAAAGGTAGGAAAAAGTAACTTGGTTTCTCACAGGAACAATATTCTCATTACAAGATTGTTCTAGAAATACTTACTTCTTAGATCAGCATTTCTCAAAGTGGAGTTTAGGGACCACCTGCCTAAGAATGACTTAAAGGACTTGAATACAGGTTTTAAGGTCCCTACCCCAAAACTATGGAGTTGGAATTGACTTTTTCCACAATATTAAGCAAAATCTACAATTTAAATCTTAACTGAATCTCTCCTGATTAGCCCTGGCCTGTAGTAAAAAAGACACATTTGTTTGGAAGGTAAAAATGTATTTATTCAGCTAAAATTCAGACACACATTTCCCAAACCCTCCTCAAGGCCTGGCACCATGCTCTTCTAGGTTATGACAGGAAGGTAAAATCCAGATAATAAGCTAACCAGAACCAGCATGTAGTTTCCATTAAAAGAAAAGAAAGAAAGAAAGAAAAAACCCTGAAAGCCCCACAGTTGTCCCAGTCCCTTTATTCACAGATATGCAAACTGAGGGTCAGTTTTACCATGAGTGACATTTCACAAGGGCTCTAAGAACTCAGAAAGGCCCACAGTGAGTGGGAGGCAGAGCCTTGAGCTGGACCCTGTGAGGAGATGAGACTCTCAGGGCCAGAATAGAGACTCAGGGGCACCCAGGCAGTGGGRGAGGGTGGTATGCAAGTTCCAAGTTCAGGAATGTCAAGAACATCGGGCCCTTGTATATGTCTAGCACTTCACAAAGATCTGACATAGAGCCATTATCACCCTATAGCACCTTTCATCCTTAGGGCTTCTTGGGCCTAATAATTCTATGCAATAAGCAAGGCATAAGATACCTGGGGTTATGGGTGAGAAGGACACTGGGAGCCAGGGAGGGATTGGAGACAGCCTAGCAGCAGAGGGCATTGTATCCAAAGGATGTTATGGAGTCAGAGTTTGGTCAGGGAAGAGGGATGTTTAACAAATACATGGGGAGAGGTCCAGAGGGAGATGGGCCCTGTGGTTTGGGACGTCTTTGTATGTGGCATGATGGGATGGTCTAGGGGGCTGTGGGGAAAGCCCACTGGGCAGGCAGCTTTGTGATAGCAGCACTTAGGTGGGATACAAGGCAAGGTAGAAACCAAGTCCACAGTTCCATCCTAGTCACTGGGCAACATGTTCTGGTCACTTGGATAATAAAAGATGCCCCTGGAGTCCTTCGAAGACCACAGAGCTGCCTCCAAGGGAGAACATAGGCAGTGGTGATTTGAATCCTGGCTTGAGAGGTCATGGGTAGAGTTGGAAGAAATGCCATTGAGATGAGAGAGTAAGCCTCATATATCAGGCTGAAGAGTTCAGATTTTAGGCTATTGTAGGCAACAAAGGGGCAGGCAGGTGGGGAAGCCACTCGAGTTGTGTTATTTTTCTTACACCTAGGATGACATCCAAATAAAGAATGTGATTCTTATTACTGTCCAGAGGTTTGTGATCTACCCCTCACCTGATCATATACTTTGGGTTCAAGTGGAAAAAATAAGTACTTCACAGGCACACTGTTTAGTTCTTAATTCAGTACTAAGGGAGCTAATTGTTGAAATATGGATGGACCCACAGTCCAGGCACAAAGGGAACCCAGCAGGATGGGTGGGAGAAACAATGGCTACCAGGGACAGGCAAGCCAGAAACTGTTTCTGAATAAGTAGGAAAATAAGATTAAGATCTATACACGGGCTGAGGTTGTAGCTCAGTGGCAGAGCGCTTGCCTCTCACGCGTGAGACCCTGGTTTCGATCCCCAGCACCACATAAAAATAAGTAAATAAAAATAAAGATATTGTGTCTATCTACAACTAAAAAAAGTTTTTTAAAAAGATCTATACACTTTGATATATTTTATAGTATTCTATGTATACGTGTATGAAAAATCAATATATACAATCCATTCAAAATAGCTTAAATTTGAGAGTGTTGTTTTGCTTTGTTTCAGGTCAAGGGAATCTACAATTTGAAGCAACCACTGGGTGAGTAGTGGGTTTTTTTTGTTGTTGTTGTTTGTTTGTTTGTTTGTTGTTATTTGCTTGTTTTGTTTTTTTTTTTAAGAAATGTCAAGGGGCTGGGATTGTGGCTCAGTGGTAGAGCACATGCCTAGCATGTGTGAAGCACTGGGTTTGATTCTCAGCACTGCATATAAATAAATGAAAAAAATAAAGGTCTATCAACATCTAAAAATTTTTTTTAAGAAATGTTAAATGCTATGTCTAATTCATATTGATTTTGCATGATTCTTCTTATAGAATTTTTTAAACATTGAACATGCTATGAATAATTTCCAATTAAAAAAAAAATTTCAGTTTCCTGACCCCACTACCAGACAAGGGCAGCTTTTCCAGTGCTGACTCACTGGGCCATCAATTAAAGTGATACCTGCAACTTTGAAACCTCCTTTAATTGCTGTTGCATCTATTTGTTTGTTTGTTTTTAATATTCAAATGAGAACTTCCAATTCTACTCCTATTTTCACATGCCTGCCTGTCCTTCTTTGCTGAGTGGATACCAGTATCCTCTCACGTTAATTCCTACAGCTTCCCTCTCTCCACTAAGAGCTCTTCTGGTCACCACTGTCCTCTCATTCCCTCTAGTCTGCAGGAGGATGCACTTACACTCCCTTCAGGAGGTAAACTTTCTCTGTAATTCCTCTCCCTGGCCAAGGCATGAAGGAGGAACCCACTATGTGTTTCCTGAATAAACCTTAGTCTGTGATCCAGTTTTGACACAGGAGCCCACTTAAATTTTTAGGCTCATTTATCCTGCTCCTAATGGAGCTGCCCAAAGAGATAACAGAGGTGGGAGTCAGTGAAGGCTCTAGAAACCAGCAWAGTTTCTCTCCCTGCTCTTTGCACCCAAGATCTTATGAAGTACTCTCTAATTACACCATTTAGTGGACCATATTATAATTTTATGATGTGTTTTTCACTCTACTAGACCATAAATTTCTCTAGGGCAAGGAGGTTGTCTTGTTAGTTTTAGCTTCCCTTGGGCCTCATATACAAGGGCCTGTCACTTGTATAGGTGCTCAGTAAATGTTTAGCGAATGAAAGAACTCATTGAAGCATCAAGTGAAGCTTGCAAACTACTCTGTAAACAAAGTTGTAGGGAGGGGCAGTGCCAAGGTTTAGCTTAGGCCCATCTCATTTACTTGGACCTCCTGTGTCTAGTAGGTGTTAGATCTAATGTAWTCCAAAAGACTTGGTACAACCGTTGGCATTTCGGACCAATAATCAGGAGAGGAGGGAACTATAGTAAGCCAGTGAAATAGTTTTTGGGAATCCAGAAAGGGATTTCTCCTCCTTACCTCCCCACCTTTAAGATTTGCAGCCATGCAGGGCGCAAAGGCACACACCTATAATCTCAATGGCTTAGGAGGCTGAGGAAGGAGGATCATGAGTTTAAAGCCAGCCTCAGCAAAAGTGAGGCATTAAGCAACTCAGTGAGACCTTGTCTCTAAATACAATACAAAATAGGGTGGGGATATGGCTCAGTGGTCAAGTGCTCCTGAGTTCAATCCCCAGTACCTCTCCCAGCCGCGCAAAAAAGAGTACTGTGAGTTCAAATCTAACCTCAGCAACTTTGCAAGGTCCTAAGCAACTCAGTGAGATCCCTTCTCTAAAAAAATAAATAAATAAATACAAAAAAGTGCTGGGACTGTGGCTCAGTGATTAAGTGCTCCTGGGTTCAATCCTTGGTCCCCACCCACCCACCCTCCCCGCCAAAAAAGATTTGCAGACAGTTACAGGTTAACTTTATYACTCAACAAGAGATGTCCTTTGAACGTTCCCTTGTTGAATGTTACCATAGAGTTGGGGCAGATCTTAGATCACAGGTAAAGGAGGAGAGAGAAGTTGCACCTGGAGATTTAAGACCAGGGATAACCTAGTACAAACCAACGCTGCTCTGGCTGGTAGAAGGAGGAATGCAAGTGCTGTTCTCTCCCATGATTCAGTGCTCCTCTGTATTTCTCTAAAGCAAAGGCAATGGAGTGGAATGTGTTCCTGGGACTGAAAACACAGATAGAGCTACAACTAGCAAGGAAGAGCCAGTCTCCAGCACTCATGGAATGAAAGGTAGGACCCAATGGAGAGCAGAGCACAGAAGCAGGGTGCCACCACTGCTGAGCCGCTGGGGAAGACACCCGAGTCCCGGCCCTCCCTTAGAAGTAAGAGGGAGGAGAAAGAACAGCATCTACACCCTTTATGTGGTATAAAATCAATTTCCTGCTGTTCATTTGTGGTGTTCTCATTAGGCCAGAAGTCTCACATAGAGAGGTAACTCCTCTCTAGAAGAGCTGCTCTGTGAAGGAGTAGTTGTTGCAGGTAAAAGCAGCGCCAGAAGTTCTGTGCTTTAGAAGCAAGATGTGTGGAGGCACTTTACTTCTTGCTCTCTCTGGGAATTTTGAATTTTGAATTTTGCTGCTTMCCAAAACTCTCTATGGAAATATTCAGAGCTCTTGATCCAGGTACTTCCCCATAGGATATCACCTCTAACAACTTTGTACATCAATTTCCTACAGGCAGAATTGGGTGCAGGATAAATAAATAAGCAGGTGTGTAGGCATTTTTATATTTCCTATTTTAAGGACATCACCATGGGTTATGGGTTCATGGGGCTTTGAATATGTTATTTTATCATCTTATCTTTTCCTAACTATTTAAACTAAAGATAATTATTTTTTTWAAATCTTCTGCTTTATGCTTCCTGAAACTGCCCATAGTGAAAACCTTGGGAATTTAATATTTAAAGTTTGGGCTTTTGGACTATGTCTTCATCAACTCAGGTTGCCAGAAACAAAATGCCACAGACCAAGTGGCTTAAAGAACAGAAACTTCCTTYTCACAGTTCCAGAGGCTGGAAGTCTGAGATTAGGTAACAGAATGCTTGGTGCTAGTTGGGGGTCCCCTTCCTGAATGGCAGGGGGCTCTGTCCTCACTGTGTGCTCATGTGACTTCCACGTTCAGTGGGTCAGGGCAAAGAACCAGCTCTCTGGTATCTCTTCTAAGGGCACTGATCCCATATGACCAAGGCCCTGCCCTCCTGACCTCATTAACCCTCTCACCTCCAAAGGTCCCATCTCCAAATACCACCATATGAGGCATTAGGGCTTCAACATGTGAATGGGATGGAGCATGAACATTCAGCCCATAGCAGACCATTTGTGATTAACTTGGTGCAATACGAATATGTCTTCAGGCACATACTCTATTTTACAATGGCTGCTAGAAGAAGTATTAGTTCAAAATGCACTTATTGAGCACTTAGAAAGTACAAAAGTCATTAAACAAGTCCAGTCCCAGAACCTCCCATCTACCCCAGGTTAAGACTGAATAAGTTTCTTCTTTAAGCTTCTGGACTCTTGGATGTTAATGAGCGTGAGTAGCAAATTAAACAGGAAGAAGTCCACGTCATGGAGAAATCAGATGTTCAGACTTGGTCAACAAATATTAATAGTAATGCCATTTAATAAGGCAGTAATTGTCACCTAGGGTATGTTGGTGCTATAAAATTTTATATTTAGAAAATGAAAAGCGACCTGTTTTCTTCTAAGTACAAACTGGGAAAATAAGGATTGAGAAAAATCTTGGTTCTAGAATATGGTCTGTAAATCTTTCGTCAGGCCTAGTCCTCCATGGGAGGTGGCAGGAGCTCTGGGAGGTTGGAGGTTTTGTTTTATTTTCCTGTGGAAATTTCAAGTTGGCTTGTGAAAAGCTTTTTTTTTTTTTTTTTGAAGGAAAATAAAACTGAATTTATATCTCTTAAGTAACTGGTCGTATCTTCTAACACTGTCTCATATTTACTGTGGTGGTTAGAGGGCGTCATATTCTAGTTTCCTCTTACTTTGAAAAACTCAAAGTGAGGTAAGGTGCCTGGAGTTGGGCTCCTGTTTCAGCTGGGGCCCAACAGACCAACAAAATATGTTGGCACTTCAGTTCCCAACCTATTAGGTTGTTGATTTAATAGGTGACTTTTCAGATTACTGGGACTTTAAAACACTGAACCTATGAAAGCTAGCCAGGTCATAATGTATGTCATGCTCATGAGGTGTTTTCACAAAAAGATATTTATGAGCTGATCTGTTTGAGGACAGAAGGGTCAACAATGACAAAGATGTCCAAATATGATCACCAGGAGATATGAACTAACTGATATAGATTTATAATTCCTCTTTTACCCAGATCATAAGGATGAGGATTATCCAGATGCCTTCCTTCCTTTCCTCTCTCTCTCTGCACTAACTTAAGGTCATTATGCCCAAAAGGCATGGTGTGAGCAGAAGAAAGAAAGGATGACTTTTAGTGTGCACTTGGTTTGAACTGTGTCTGTACATGTTCGTGTATTATCTGTGCACACTCAGACATACACAACTTTCAATATGGGAAGGCTGCCTGGTTTCAGGGGACAAAAAAGTGGCAGTAGAATGACCATTGTGTTGATCTGAGCTGAGATGATCTTTCACTAATTAGGCTCATGAAAACCAGTCAGCTCTTGAGAAGTTTGCTTGACACCATAAAATCAATAAATACACAAATAATTCAGTTGGGTTGTGAAAAGTAGCCTAAAACACAAAAATACTACATGCAGGTGAGGCTGTGGAGCAACAGGAACTCTCATTCATTGCTGGTGGGAATGCAAAATGGCTTAGTTGCTTTGGAAGGCAGTTTAGTAATTTCTCACAAAACAGAATATATTCTTTCCATACAATTCAGCATGCATGCTCAGTATTTTCCCAGAGGAGTTGAAAACTTATGTCTCTACAAAAACCTGCACACAAATATTTCTACATGCTTTTATTCACATTTTCCAAACCTGGAAGCAACCAAGATATCCTTCAGTGAGTAAACGGATAAACTGGCACATCCAGTCAATGGAATATTATTCAGCACTAAAGAAATGAGCCATCAAGCCAAGAAGAGACATTAAAAAAAAAAAACAACCTAAATGCATACTATTCAGTGCAAAAGGCCAATCTGAGAAATCTATAATTCATATGATCCCAGCTTTATAACATTCTAGAAAATTCAAATTTTTTATTATCTGGAGATAGTAAAGGGATCATTTGTTGTCAGGAGTTAGTGTGGAAGAGAAGGATGAGTATACAGAATGGGGATTTTTAGGACACTGAAAATTTTCTGATGTGATACTGTAATGGTGGATACATATCATTTGTACAAATCCATAGAGTGTGCATCACCAAGAACAAACCCTAACGTAAGCAATGGACTTTGGATGAGTACGAGTGTCCATGTAGGTCCATCAGCTTCACCCCTCTGGTAATGATGGTGATGGTGAGGAAGCTAGGCATGTGTAGGGGCAGGGGCCTTATGGAAAATCTCTGAACCTTCCTCCACATTTTCTTATGAAACATTTTCTGCTTTAAAAAAAATAGGAGCCTTCATAAAGACTTTCTTCAAATAGGCCACATGCACATTATTGTATTAGATGGTGTTGGAACCTGCCCAGTTCCTCTTTATCAGGCTATTACATCCATTTACTTCCCAATTGCTTTGAGGTTAGCTGATGATATCTCACAGTTGTGCCCTTCTAAGAACTGCCCTCAGCTGACGAGAGCTGTCTAGCCAGGAAATGCCTGTGAGGCTACATCCTCCCCCAAGGGTAGCTTGTGGCCCACAAATGGGTTACTAGTTCAGGGTACAAAAGCCAACCCTCTGTACCAAGATAACACCCTTGTGGTCCCATGTGTGCTCTAGCATTTCCTAGGGGATCGGGCTGATGCTAGACTTCAACCAAACCCACATCTACGCCTACTTCTTCCCCGCCCTGTTTTCTGCCCTCACTGTCTTACAGGTTTCATCTGAAAGCCCTTTCTCAATAACATACTTGCACAATCTGCTTCCTGACCTAAGACAGTACAGGAGAAATCCAAGAAACAATGGGACTCTGGTATTGGGTCACCTGCTGGCAATTAGTAATAAGGACCCCATCAGTGGTGTTACAGAGTACTGAGAGTCCTGATCCCTGAACTGCTGTGGTTCAATTGCCTGGACCTTCACCTGTGGTGAGCTGGGATCAGATATAGGTGGGCAGTGACACGCCAGCTGGTGCTAGGTCTTTGGAGAGGATGGTGGAATTAAGAGTCTGCTGCTAAGTACCACTGAGGCACTGAAGATAAAGGAACAGACCCACATTAGTCACCAATTTAAAGCCCATTGTGAGAATCAGAGGGCCTCCTTGCCAATGTTTAGCTCCTCATCTCCAGGCAGACTGAGCTGAAGAGCCAGTGGCAGAATTTAAGAAAAGGATACATTTTCAGGCAAGGCAAATCTGTCACTTGGTCATTTTGGGATCCTAGCCAGTAGATGAGGAGACAAAGTCGGGTCATGATACGTAAAAAGGACCTAAGCATTGAAATGAGAATTCTGGGTCCATACCCTTTATCCCCTGGACTGGCAGTGGTGACCTACTCCCCCTTATTAAGAGAGAGACCTTCTCCCATCCCCCCCAGGACTGTGCAGAACCTGTAGATGAAGCATGAAAGACAATGTTTGCTCTTCCTCATGTTCTCCACATCTCCCTTCCAAACCCTTTCCAGAATAGAGACTAGGATGGGCATTACAACATGACCTGACCTGGGGTAGAAGCACATGGACCTATGGTCATGAGCTCCAAAGGCAAAGATCTTTGAATTATGCTTTAGTGCCCATCTAAGAAGATCCATTATAGAAAAGGTACCAAAAGACCAATCCAACTGGACAACTTGGACAGTAGATGTCAGCAAGCTTCCTTCRTGGCACCCTAGAGCCTAAACCATGGGATCCTAATACAGAAATCTTGGTAGCAGAACTGGAGGCTGTGCATGGGCCCTGCAGTGTGGACTCCCTATCATCAGGACTGCTCTGGGATGTAAGGACCATCTGGCTACAATGTGGGTCCCTGGTTCCCATGGGTACATGGTTCACCAGGGATCTTGCTTGCCAGGTGGGTGTCTCCTTACTCCTTCACCACTCCACATGTGTCCCTTATATATTCAGTTGACAAAGATGACCTGCTCTCATAGAGGAGAGATGTTCTTTAGTCAGAGTTACAGGGGTAACGGTGCTTCCCTGCTAGA